TATACTGTTAAGTAACACACTCTCTCTCCCTCCACTCCTTTCTCACTGTCCCCTTTTCCTTACAACACAGAAAAGTTAAGTATTTTACCCCGTGGCACGCAGTGTAATTTCTGGCATTCAGGTTCTAGAAAGTGTTCTCTTAACCACTATGATACACACACACACACACACACACACACACACACACACACACACAATAAATGTTTGCTAAAGATGAAACAAGGAGAAAAATACTTTCCACACATTTACCTAGCTGATTTTCTACAGCCATACACAGATGTCTCCCTTAGTAAACTTTTTGTACTCAGTGTTCAGAATATATAGAACTAAAAGGCACTAACTTTTTACATACGTTGAAATATAGGACACTGAGTTACTTTCAAGTAGTTATTTGTTACATAGCTGTGTTTATTAACAAAATATGTTTTCAAGCCTGCTTCTAATAGATACTGTAAATATTAAAAAAAAGTTACTAAAAATTAAAATTCAAGATTCAAGGAAGTTCTTTTTGTTTTGTTTTGTTTTTTGCTTTTTGAGATGGAGTTTCGCTCTTGTAGCCCAGGCTGGAGTGCAACGGCATGATCTTGGTTCAATGCAATCTCAGTCTCCCCAGTTCAAGTCATTTTCCTGCCTCAGCCTCCCGAGTAGCTGGGATTACAGGTGCCTGCCACTACGCCCAGCTAATTTCTGAATTTTTAGTAGAGATAGGTTTCTCTATTTTGGCCAGGCTGGTCTCAAACTCTCTGATCTCAGGTGATCCGCCCACCTTGGCCTCCCAAAGTGCTGGAATTATAGGCATGAGCTACCACGCCTGAAAGTTCTAGTGTAGAATAAGAAATTCCCAAGTTTAAGAAAAATTCCTATGAAAAGTAGGACACAAAAGTAGAGTGGACAATGATAACTTCTAAAGAAACCTTTTAAAAAAAATGTTTTTCTGCATTCTCTTTGTTCAATTATTGTTTCATTTGTTAATTCAAATACTTATTAAGAGCTCACTGTGTACAGCATGTACCAGTATTCATACCACAAATTTCTGTTTTTACTGTTTTGAAACAGAGTCTTGCTCTTTTGTCCAGGCTGCAGTGCAATGGTGTGATCTTGGTTCACTGCAACCCATGCCTCCCGGGTTCAAGCAATTCTCCTGCCTCAGTCTCCCAAGTAGCTAGGATTACAGGTACCCGCCACCATGCTCTGGCTAATTTTTTGTCTTTCTAGTAGAGATGCGGCTTCCACCATGTTGGCCAGGCTGGTCTCCAACTCCTGATCTCAGGTGATCCACCGTGCCCAGCCCACCGATTTCAAATTCAGTCTATTTGGGATTTTGTCCATTGAAACATATCCAGTTTTATAATGGAACGGGGGAGAGTAGAAATCATTTTAAAGAAATTTGCTTAGCATCTGAATTTACAAGACTCATAAGAACAGAAACATATCCAAACCTTCAAAGACTTCAACTTTCCCCTTTAAACCTTATATTTACTTTTAACCACAGTATTTTTCAGTTGGAAAAATAAATCCTCCCAAAACTACTTGGGAAAAAAAAAGGAGGGTGGGGGGAAACACAAGGGACCTGTCCTTAAGGAGTGAAAATTGCAATATTAAATACTAGACACTTTCAAATTAATTTGCCTAAATATATCGTGACTTTTCAAGCAAGTAAAGAACTACAGTAAGTTATGTTCCATCACTACATTTTCCCATTTGCAAGACAATAAATTTTCAAAATCATACATTGAAATAATCTTCATGGCTAAAACTGTAACCAAGTGAAATTTTAAAATAAAGAAACACTCACAACTAACAATTGAGATCACCAGAACAGCTGAAAGCTAACATCTTGCAGTTTTTAATAAAAGTACATTATTTCCATTATTGTTTTAAATCTTTGAGAACAAATTTCCTAATCAATTGGCTTTATCAACAACAGAACAGGTGTACACTATTTTACCCAAAAAGTATTTCTGTGAAAAAGTACTGGCAGACCAAATCTAACTAACTAGAAAAATTTAATTCTCATTTTAGAGGTACTTAATCTCCTTTCTGTTAAAGCTTCCACTGGCAAACTGAAGTTAGCTTTCAGTTGGTTAATTATCCACAAATAAGCCCTTAAAAACAATCACCTCAACATATTAGATGGCTACTACAGAGAGAGAGAGAAGAAAGAGAAATGTTTAGAAGGATGTGGAGAAATAGGAACTCTTGTGCACTGTTGGTGGGAATGTAAACTGGTACAACTACTGTAGAAAACAATATGGTGGTTCCTTGAAAATTAAAAAGGGTTACCATATGATCCAGCATCCCTCTTCTGGATATATATCCAAAAGAAGTGAAAGCTTCAAAGAGATTTGCAGACCTATGTTCATAGCAGCACAATAACCAAGATGTGAAATCAACCCAAGTGTGTCCACTGATGGATGAATGGAGAAAAATATGGTATATACATATAATGGAATATTGCTCAGACTCAAAAAGGAAGGAAATTCTGACACATGCTACAACGTGGATGAACCCTGAGGACATTACACTAAGTGAAATAAGCCCATCACAAAAATATTAAAACCCAACGATTCTATTTATATGAGGTATCTAGATGAGTTAAATTTGCAGAAACAAAGTAGAATGTTGGTTGCCAGAGGCTGAGGAGAGGGGGAAATTGGGAGTTGTTTAATGGGTATGGTTTCAGCTTTGCAAGATGAAGAAGTTCTGGAGGTTAGTTGTACAATGTGAATATACTTAACACTACTGAATGGTACACTTAAAAATGATTAAGATGGTAAATTTTATGTTAATGTTTTAAAACTACAATTTAAAAAAAACAATTAAAAGCTATTAAAAAAAGCCATGAGGTAATCACAATTTTTGTTTTTATGAAACAAGAATGTTTAATTTTGTTTTATAAATTCAGGTTTTAGATACTAGGTTTCTCTAAAGGGATCATGTCTGGCAAGTAGATACGGGTTTATAAATTTCTACTGCAGAAAGCATGAACATGAATAATCAATGCATATACAAAAGAGTTAATTCTTGATTTGTCAAGAGACCAAGAGATATAATTATTTTTAAAATTCGAAAGCCTATGGTTAATTTAAACATTCTCACCATATTTTTACCAAAAATACTGAGCAACAAGAAGGTTGGCTGGTCTTACTTTCAAATTCTTTTTCTAACCTTTCAGAGTTAAGCAGAAAACAACACATACACACACTGGGTAAAATCCACCCACTGGATAACTAGTCACAAAGTTTAAAAAATGAATTTCTTGATTGGAAACTCATCCAACAACACATTTAAATTTAGATTATTATCTCCTGGTTAAGAAATGGACTTATGTTAATCTTAGATAAAGGGATACTGTATTGCAAGTATCTAAATTTTTAAAAATTATATTAAGAGAAGGCATCTATGAACACACAGTAATTTAACCCAATCTTTAACACCTATGCACAACAATGTTTAATTTCACCACCAAACATCATATATTATTTTGAGTTCTTCAGGAAAAATACAATCAGTCCAAAGACTAATTAATCCTCCTCAGCTTTCTATAAACCACTCTTAACATACAACCATAGAATGTAGCGACAATCTCTAAACCCTGAGCCCAGACACCATTAGAGCCCTAGACAACGCGTTAAAAGGAAAGACAATGCGTTAAAAGGAAAGACAATGGAAGTTAACAGGTAGAAAGGCTGACATTCTCCAAACTGCACAAGGTGCTCTGCAGTGGACCATAGGAATGAACTCCAATACTTTCTAGGTCTAAAGTAACTTGATAGCTCAGTAAATACATAAGTGTGGAAGAGAGCACTAATATAGACTTCCTACAAATTGAACCACAAAACTCAGACTAGTAAGACAACCTTGAGGCCTTGCCTTCAGATGGAACCCAATGGTCTTAATTCTGGAGAAACTCAAAGGACAGTTTTTCTACCACATAGGGGCTTTACTGAGAATATTTTATCAACTCATTATCTTACAAAGGTTAATTTTTATAAAATAGTCTAAACTTTGGCATCAAGACAAAAAATGTTCTAAGTTAAGTGCAGTGTCTTGCACATATCTTGCTTAAATGAACAGTAAGACTAGAATACTGTGTATGTTTGACTCCAGAGTCCAGAGTAAATTCACAGTATTCTATTTGGGGAGAAAACGCAGGGGTGAGGAATTCTGAAGGAGGAGGCCTAGAATACAGAGTAAATCAGATGCTCAAGAAAAATAACTGACACTAGATGCCAACATAACCCAAAGATGTACTGTTTTGCCCATTTTAGCAGGAAAAAAGTCCTTTAAAGCTCTGGATCCAATGTTAGTCTTTTCATTTTCAGAAGATAGAAAAGATGCATGAAGACACAGAAAAGAAACTAAAGGAAATAGCTGGAAGGACTAGCAAAAAAGAGTTCTAAGTGTTGCAGAAGTTTAAACCACAATTTTAACAGGTAACATCTATTTTCAAGTACACAGTGTCACCAAGACTTCTATTCCAGGCAACTAACTAACTGCTTTATATGCATTATCTCATTTAATCTTTACAATAACTGCTCAGATGGCTGCTATTCTTATCATTTCAAAAGGAGGAAAACAGCTCAGAGGCATTCAGTAACTTGCTCAAGCTCACCAGTGAAGGGCTGGGACCCTTAACTCAGATCCTATGCTCTTAACCATTATATGCTGCTTCCTCAAACAAAAGGAAATTCAAAATAGAATTCTAAGGAGAAAAGTTTGCTAATAAACGAGAGAGCCTCTTGACTTTTAATGGCCAAAATTAAAGAAGGAAATTAAGGAATATCTATTCTCAGTAATTTTATTTTAATGATTCAGTAACTACCTGTTTCGGAAAACTTTGAAGGGGTCTGGCCTGAAGTTTGAAACAGAATCATTCCTTTCTTGACATTCCTTTACAAATCTAAAAATCAAAATACACGTGCTATTAAAGTCCAGCCTCTATAACAAGGAACCCACATGAAATGTCCTATGCTAAATCTGTAATATTATAACCATACCCATTTTCTATTCTGATTTCTTCCAGTTCTCCAGGTTTTGAGTTTTCTAGACCTTCCCTTAAAAAGACAAATTTGTATCCCAAACTCCAACATTGGGAGCTCATTTCAAATGAAAAAACAAAAACAAAACAAAAAAAAACTGCAAGAAGAAAATCCCCATCCCCAACCTCCATTATCTTTAAAAAAACTAAATTAGTTAGAAAAGGTCATCTATTATAAACAGCATCTAAAAGTGCTGAGTAACCACCACTTACTAAGTGTTTAACTTAATTTCTCAGTTATATCAAGAACTTCTATATTAAGAAATGTGAGTCCATCCAATCCAAGATTCTAACTTTTCAAATGAGAACATTTTGAAAGTAACAGATGGGCTGAGGAAAATCTAAGAACTCATTTAGAATTGGAGCTGATGAACAGTAGCTAATTTATTTATTCACTCATTTCAAAGCTGCTTCTGATATTCTGAACTGATGAATGGCAAAGAAATGAGTTCAATACTGTATATAAAAAGGAAGTGATTGGTGCATAATTTAATGCATTGTATTAAGTATGGTTCAATATATAATAAGGACAGAAAATTGGCACTATACAGAGGTAATCTGCCTTAGGTTTACAATATAGCAGCTTCATCATTTCATCAAAGGCACTGTAATCACTTCCGCAAAATAAACTGCAATCAATTCCTGGTAACTCTTGAAATTAATCTAGACCTGTTCGCTCACTTTTTGAATTTTGTAAGTGCCTTCTCTGGTGTATACAAACTGAAAATTTAACATTCTACTGAAGAAGGACCAGGAGAAGGGATCTACAAAACAGCAAGAATATAAACAAGTTTATCTTCTGCTGATACTGATTAGGGAAATTAATCTCTCTCCCAGAAGAGGGGAAGGATTTACCAGCAAAGCCAGTCTACTAACCAAAACTCTTACTCTAAATCTTCAATTCCTTAAAATGATTTCCTTAAAAGTTTAAATACCAAAGTGGACAAAATTGTGTGTGTGTGTGTGTGTGTGTGTGTGTGGAGGGATAAGTTCGCTCTTAATACCACTGGTCCAAATCACAATTTTTAATCTCTAATGTACCCCTTTGACTCCAACTTCAAGGTGATTTATAAAACTCGGATTCAGTTCTAACCGAGTGATTATTTACTTTGGCTATGTTGAAGGTTTTTCTTTAATATACTTCAATTTCAGAAAAATGAGACAGAATTCCAAAATTTTTGCATCATTTTAGTGCCGCATTTCATTAACTCATCATATGCTTTTTCTTCAATACCACTAAAACTGCCTGCATTTAATCAGCCCCTACATTTTCACTATTTCTAGAATGAATGAGGCATATATTCATTTATAATATCTGCGTTGTTGTGACAGGTGATATGAACACAAGTATCCAATTCTGAAGTTCTCTTTAAAATGTTGCTATTTCCCTAAATTCCCGTTACTCTGACTCTCGGTCTAGGCAAGTTGTTCAAGGCGATGAAAACAAAACGAAACAAAACCTGCACGTGCAAACTAAAAAGTTCGCATCTTAAGGCCATCGCGGCAAATCCCTTAATGCACAAAGGCAAAGACATCCACGACGGCTGGACAAGCACAGGACAAGACCGCATCCGACCACGCGAGCCCTTCGGTCCAGAACTCAGGGCCGGGAGCCCACAGGGAAGCCAGGACCAGCGTTCAGGGTCCGCCCCAGGGCCGAGTTTTCAATGGAACCGGAGAGGATGGGGGCGGGAAGGAGCGGAAGCTCCGGATGCAAACCGCGACGACCGAGCTGCAGCTCATTTTTCTTCTCGGGGTTTTCGGGCTGGGTAAAGTCCCCTCCGGATGGGCCACAGAGCAGGCTGGGTTTTTGAGGCGGGTAGGTGGGCGGCGCGAGGCCCCCACGGCCGGCGGGAAGGGCGAGCAGGGCTCAGACCCCGGCCCCTGAAAGCACTTTCGAGGCGTCTCCCACCCCCCCACGACAAGATGGCGACGTGGACAGCGGGGGAGCCCGGCCAGCGAGGTTGGGGAAAAGAGAGGGGAGAGGAGAAGCAGCAGAAACAAAAAGGCTGCCCCCCCACCCCCAGGAACGCCGAGGCCGGCCCGGGAGCCCAGGGCGGGCCGGCGGGCGGGGGCGCCGGCGAAGGCGGCGGGCCGAGGGAATGGGCTTACTTTTTCTTGTCGTTCGCGCCGCTGGCGCCCTCCATGGTGAATCGGTCCCCGCGTGCCTTCACGGCGGGCAGCCCCCTGGCTCGTTCCGGCCTAAGCGCTGGCTCCCTCCACACGCGGAGAGAGAAGGAAAGGCAAGTCCAGAGGTGGAGGTGCGAGGCGGGAAACCGCTCGTGAGAACAGAAGGAAGAGAAGTGGGCGGCAATCGCCCGGGTCCGGGCCAGGCTCCGAGCCTTTCCTCAGGCGGCTTGTCAGGGCCCAGCCCGACGCAGTGGCCGAAGCGACGGCGAGGGTGATCCTCGCGTCCCCTCAGACGAGGCAGCTCTGTGCACTGAGGAGCTGAAGCAGCGGCAGGGGGCGGGCAAGGGCGGAGGCGCGCTCGGCGAGCGGGGAGGGGAGAGCGGGCGGGAGCGCGTTCCGGCGCCCGGGGTGGGGGGGGAGAGCGGGCGGGAGCGCGCCCGCCGCCTGCCCGGGCCAGCGCGCGCTCCCGCAGGCCCGCCTCACCTGAGGTGGAGGCGGGTTCTCCGAAAGCCAATGGCGAGCGACGCAGGCGGCCAGTTCCCACCCCAGCCCACGTCGCTCTCAGCCAATCAGGAGGCGGTCAGCTGAGGCACAGCTGGGAGGCGCTGCCCCGCTCACGTGCTCGTCTGTGTTTAGCTGCAGAGGAAAGAGAAAAGAGCTGGGGGCGCGGCTCAGCTCGGGTCTGGGGACTCTGTGCTTTCTCATAAGGAAGACGGTGGCCGGCTTTGGGAGGCGCTGCTGAGTAGATCCCAAACCTGCATCATATTTTCCTACTCTTGGTGCGGTCATGTAAGGCTCCCGCTCTCTTTCTCATCCGCCGCAGTGCTGGGCAGTATTGCCGCCCAACTCTGATGAGTTCCCTGTTCAAAAAAGCAGACTTCGCCTCATGGCAGCAAGCCCTTCCATTGGTCTCATTGCTCAGATGTGTTACAACGGGGTCTTTCCTTGTCAGGTTACCTAACCACGGGTCAGTGTCACCCACCGCACTCTGCCATGGAACACAGGAGAACTCTCCTTGTCCACTGTTTTTCTGTGGTGGAGTTTAATTCCTGAATAAATGCAGTTAAAAATAAAAACTAACTTCTCTTGCTGTAAACCTCAGGGGAAATGAAGTTGCAGGGAAATCTTAAAATCTGAAACTATGTTAAGCAGTTACAAATACGTATAAATGACCTTAATAAGCATATAAACCAAATTCAGTAGAAAAAAATGGCCTTTGGCAACTTTGTAAGCTACTAAATAAAACAATCACTTTTGTCTTTGGAGGCATAAACTTCAAGCCTGTCGGTCTTTTAAAAGAAAAAAAGAATATATTTTGAGCTCAACCAAGGAGCGTTGCAAATATATCTCCACTTGACACTAAATTATTTTACTTCTCACCTTTGCCTTATGAGTTTCTTGTTAAAACCTAGTTTTGGAATGTAAATATAGGTATCTGTAGTGGCTTTCAATTGTATTAGCATGTAAAAACAATGGCCTATATAAAGGCATCAAACTCTGACAACAACCAATGTATACAGCACTTTTTAACTGGTCAGTAGACCTATAGAGATATGATTAAACATTGACCTAGCCGACAGGATGTTTCCAGCTACTGAGTGGGGTGAGGCTGGAGGATTCCTTGAGCATGGGAGTGCCAGCCTAGGGAGTTTCCAGCCTAGGCAACCTAAGGAGACTCCATCTCTTTAAAAAAACTTTGATCTTCGTGGTACTTTTGTTTATCAGATCTGCAACACTAAATGATATGTATTATATCTTGAAAAGAACTATGGGAAATGCCTGAAGAGAACTCAAAATAATTACTCATAATTTCTTTTTCAATTGTGGAAAGACTAATTCTGTAAATTACAAATCTTTTAGTTTAACATTCTGAAGATACTATGTTAAGAACACTGGCTCCAGAATCAAGAGTGAGCTTATACACAGGCTTTGAAACTTATTGACAAGTCATTTAATATCTCCATACCTCAGTTTACTTATTTATAAAATGGATATAAAAGTGCCTATACCACAGTATTATGGATGGTTAGATGAGGTAATATGTATACACTTAGAACAATATCTGGTGCATAGTAAGCACTCAGTAAATGTTAGTATTGTTGATGGCGTTGTTATTATTATTATTATTTTGAGATGGAGTCTTGCTTTGTCCCCCAGGCTGGAGTGCAGTGGTGCGATCTCAGCTCACTGCAACTCTTCTCCCAAGTTCAAGTGATTCTCCTGCCTCAGCCTCCAAGTAGCTGGGAGGACAGGTTCCCACCACCACACCCAGATAATTTTTATATTTTTAGTAGAGACGAGGTTTCATCATGTTGGCCTGGCTGGTCTTGAACTCCTTATCTCAGGTGATCTGCCTGCCTTGGCTTCCCAAAGTGCAGGAATTACAGGCATAAGCCACCATGCCTGGCTTATTATTGCCTGAAAATTTATGCCTCTGTTAATAGTAATTACTTGGGCTTCTGCTACAGTTTAGCCATTTTTAACTATCCAAGAATACCAATTACATTAACATAAATCCCCATATATTTTCTTTTTTCAGCTTTGGAACTGCCCATGGTGTTCTCACCCTCATTTATGAGCATAGCTGCTCATCAATCATTTCTCTTTTCATTACACTTAGAGCAATTCTCTCTGGCCAGTAATTATAGTATATAATGTTTGTGACATCAAAAGACAAGCATTTTGTAAAAGCAAACCTAAGTCATTAAAAATTTTTTTGGATCATTTCAAAAGTTTAAAGCAGAATAATAATTTTATCAACAAAAGTTATTTTTGAATATTCATTAAATTTGACCTAAACTTAATTTTCCTTTTCAAAAATGTATAAAATATATTTTTATGTATATATGTGTATACACAAATATAAATATGAACATGAAGAGAAAAGTAGTATATACATGTGTATATATGGGTATATACAAATATAAATATCATGGAAAGTGGTAATATTCAGTCAACTAATTTTCATATAATTACAAAGGCACCAAATAGTATCCCCTAATTCAAACCTGTTAAATAACAGACACAGAAAAGGAAAATTTCATATGGGGTAAAATTTTAAATCCCCCTCTTTATAACCACTTAATAAATACATTTAGGTTATTACTATTTAAGTGTATCTTAATATAACAGTCATTTAATCACCTTCTAACTTTGCAGAACTTTCTGAGTAGACTACAAGATTAGGCTACAAGATTACTTGCAAAGGACACCATTGACCCCTAGCCCATATTTAGTAGGAAATCGGGCAGTGAATCAGGAGGCTAGGTAAAATGTGAAATTTGGATTACTGCTAAATAACATAGACCATTGAGCCTTTTGGAAGTGAAATGCATCAGATGCACAAGGGTATCAAACTATACAAGACCTGATATTCAGTAAGTGATTCCTGGCCTAGTATTACCCTTGTTTCTTTTTCTTTAAGCTTTTCCTAACAAGAACAATGGCAGCAAAAGTGTCTTGTTTGGAAGGAAAGTGCTTAGACGATAAGAGGCATTAAAAATCTTTGTTATTTCCTTTCAAGAATCAAAATACAAAGTATCTGTAATTCTAATATTTTGGGAGGCTCAGGCAGGAGGATCACTTGAGGCCAGGAGTTTGAGACCAGCCTGGGCAACAAAGTGAAACTCCCATCTCTACAGAAAATTTTAAAAATTATCTGGGCTTGGTGGTTAGTGCCTGTAGTCACAGCTACTCTGTAGGCTGAGGCAGGAGGATCACTTGCTCCTAGGAGTTTGAGGCTGCAGAGAGCTATAATTGTGCCACTGCCCTCTAGCCTTGACAGAGCAAGACCCTATATCTTAAAAAACAAAAGTCCACACACAGATACACAAAATAAAATGTATATTTATCTGAGTTTAGGGGGAATATAAATAGACTGAAAATTTGATACTAGCACTTTTAAATTATGATAAATATTTTAAGGTGAATTTACAAAGGAATGCCAAGGGGCATCCAGTTTCCTGTTCAACATGTAAAGAGCTTGGAAGTTGTCACTCCCATTCTCACAACAAGAAAAAAGGCTAAACAGGGTAAAATCAGCAACTCCTGTTCAGAGAATTGAGAAGAAAAAGTATTGGCCTAAAAACTAGAGAAACAGACAGATGGATGCAGAGAATCACAGCTCGTCGGAGAATCACAGTTTACTGGGAGCAGCAGCCCAGGCACAGAAGCCAGAAGCTGAAGCTAATATCACAGCTGGAGCCAACGTCAGTAGGAACAGTTAACTGTAATTGAGGAATTGCTGGAGGCTCAGTGCAGACTAGCTTAAGTGTTTAAAAACTCCAAGGGGGCTCAGTCTGAGAGAGATCTCAATACTTACCTCAGTTTCACTTCTAGGAATCCTGTCAGATTCTCA